ACTTGACAGCACGATTGTCTGGAGTGTGGAATGATAGATTTCCATTCTTCATGCTTCTGCGTCTGAGAGTCCATTACTAGTGTGGCTATGTGGTTACTGATGCCTATGTCTTTACCACAGCGACCCATGAAGATTGATAAATGTTTGGACACGCTAAATCAAACTGATCACCTGCAGTGTGGTGATCTGAATAGTGAGGACTGCTTATCTTAAAATCCGGACTTGAGAAACAAATCCGATTTGCCAAACCTGGATACACTTCATAAACACTACTGGTAAAACTATTTGCAGTTAGAGCCCGGTCTCACTGCCAAGTCGTCGAAATCCAGTGCTTGGGCAGTGACTTGTGGCGGTTGCCATTATAGTTTAACGGTGTCCAGCAGCGTCAAGAGGAAATGCGGTGGGACAAGGATGAAAGTTAAGGTAGCAAAAGAGTTGGGCTGGCGGGAGGGGTGGTGGATGGGTCCAACAAACAGACTCTCACCCGAGAGAGCAGTGTTTGTGTCCCGTAAGATTCTAAAGCCAAACTGTTCTTTTTGCTTTAGTTGCCAAAACATCTATTTGCAGTGTTGTACAAATGTAGTGCTTTTATTTTGAAAGAGACTGTATGTAAACGGTAAATTTCATGTGAAAACAGAAGTGTATTTTGAAAGAAGACAATACATGTAACAGACAGAACTTGACACGGCGTCCCAGATGGTACCTTGCACGTTGTATGCGGATATGGAAAGTCCAAAACATCAATATGTGAGGAGGTCGGAGTGAGAATGTGTTGGCAGTTAAAATGTGGAGACTGTTTAAGATAGTTCAGAATATTTAGTAGAGACATTTTATTGACAGGAGCATTTTCCTACAGTCCATAACCTAATGGATGCCTATAGGTGGCCTCCTCTGTCAACTGATGTTAATAACAGAATCCAGTTTCATTTTATTTTCCTCCCTCTGTCTACCTCTCTCCATCTTTTCCCTCTGTCATCTATCCATTAATCTCTCTATCTGTATGATAGATCAGCTCACACTGTCAGTGACACTTAAACATGATTGGCCAGTTCTGATGACATCATTCTCAGCAGATTTACAGTCATTTATTGGTTGGGTTTGTAGTTCTTTCTGAAGTGGGCAGGCCTACAGGCACCGAGTGGGGGAATAAATGTGTTTTTTTGCCCCCAGTGCATATTTACTACATGGCGTAAATCGAACCTGGACATTGTTCCGCTACAGCCATCCATTACTGATGACAGCATTCAGGCATGACGTTTATGAGGTGGGCTGTTAGGATCAGTAATTCACTCTGTCAGGAGATCTGAAGAGAGCAGTGGGGGTAAAGAGGAGGCACAAGAGGAAGAGGACAAGAGGTTTAGGAAGAAGGATGAAGGGGGAAACAAGTGGGGAGAGAAGCAGAGAGGCGAGGATGGAGCAGAGGAGGAAGAAAATAGTTGGCATTTGTGAGACAAAGCTTTTTTTCATGGGGGAAAATTATTTCTCACCATCCCTCCCCTCTTTTCTCCACTCCACCCACCCTTTTTTCTGGCTATCATGTTTCTTGTGCCAATCAATATTTTATAGCTGTCGCTCCAGAGCAATGACCCCCCCCCCCCCCCCCCCCCCCCCCCCCCCAAGCTCTCTGAATGACAGATGAGGGTGAGAATGGGTGTTGGGGGCAAAGTGAAAAGCGTGAGGGAAGGGTGGGAGGGTGTAAAGCTGAGTGGTGGAGAAACATGAAGTAACAAGAAATGGCAACAGAGAAAGAGGGAGACAGTGCAGCGAGTGAGGCAGAGACTGACGGAGAAATGGGTGAATATGACACTGGATGAATAACCAAGAGTGGGAGAAAATTTCCCACAGATAATGAAATTATGCTGTGAAAATGTCTACCAATTTTCATACTCTCAGAGAACCAATTACAAAACTAAGAGAAAAAATGTCAGCCTCGTGACATCAAAGTGGGGACGCTGCCTACTCATTTTTCCCCTATTTGTGTCTTGTTGTTTTACCTAAGCTGCTTTTAGCTCGTAGCCCACAGCACTCTGCTATTCTCCAAGATAAGGACTACACACATGCCACGGTGGAGGAATGTGTGTGTGTTTATGTGTGCACAAGCGTATAAATGCACAATTATGTGTTGCTTTTTCTGTATCTTGTGTGTTTGCTTGTGCAGGAGTGTTTATGTGTGACTGTAGCCATGACACATTAGGGATAAAAAAACCTTGAAGCTGTGTCAAAAAATGTTCGGTGTGTTAAGATTTTCCCATGAGTCACAGCTCTCCAGGTGAGGCAATCACACACAGAAGCACATACACACACGGTGAGAAAGGTCTAGATGGCCTTAGTGAAACCGGATGATGATAGATTGCAGGGAAATTACAAGTTAGAAGAAAATGTGCATTGGTGTGTGTGTGCATGAAGTGGTAACAAACTGTATGTGCACTGTGTTGGTGTGTGTCTGTGTATATTGGAGGTAAATAAAGAAAGGCCTTCTCCTGTCCCTCCCACCTCCTCTTGTAATCCTCTGTGTTTCCGTGACCTCGGCAACCTGGTGACAAAGCATTCTTGGTGTCCCTTTGATTGAGGCCACGGGTGGGCGTGAGGTTTGGACAGACTGAAAGGACAGTGGAGGAGAAAGAGCAGGATGGAGGAGGCCGAAAGTTTGTGATCTTAGGGTTGGCCGAATCAGCAATCTGCCTGTTTCAGATTTTTTTTTCCCTTAGTTTAGTTTTAAAGCTGAACTTTTATGACCGTAACATTGTGCCACATTTGCTAAATCTGTCACTATATTCTAAAATAAGTATATGAGACAGGTATCTGTCTCTTCCTGCTGCTAATGACATTTGCCAGAATCTACCATGAGGCGCAAAAAACAACCAATCAGAGCAGAGGAGTCCCTAACGCAGCTCACTTCACTTTTTATACCTCTGCACCGGTAATAGCCATGGCCGCAGGCATTGTATCTTCGGGTTGTCCGTACATCCCATTCTTGTGAACGCCTCAAGAGCACCTGAAAGGAGATTCTTCAAATTTGGCACAAACGTTCAGTTGTACTCAACAATGTCTTGATTAGATTTTGGTGGTCAAGGGTGAAAGGTCAAGGTTACTGTGACTTTGTCTGTCTCACTCTTACAACATGGTCAACATGACCTCACATCCATCTCATTTTCGTGAACGTGATATCTTTGCTTCGCTTTGGGGTTGCATTTTTGATGTATGAAAGGCGCTATATAAATAAAATTTGATTGATTGATTGATTGATCTCAACAGCTTGAGGGAATGTCTTCAAATTTGGCATGAATGTCCACTTTAACTCAACGATGAACTGATTAGTTTTTGGTAGTCCTAGGTCCAAGGTCAAGGTTACTGTTACCTTGTCTGTCTTCTTGTGAACGTGAGATCTCAAGAATTCCCTGAAGGAGTTTCTTCAAATTTGGCACAAACGTTTATTCGGACTCAACAATGAACTTATCAGATTTTGGTGGCCCAGTGTTAAAGGTCAAGGTCAGCATGACCTTGCATCCATTTCATTGTCGTGAATGTAATAGCTTGAGGGAATTTCTTCATTTTTGGCACAAACATGTACCCTCTCTAAATTTGGAGGGTTTTTCAGCTCTGTAAATGCAGAGCAGGTGGAACTCTTTATTTTTTTTTCTCAGCAGCAGTTTGAGTTGCAGAATGGATATTTGATCAGACGATCCAATCAGAGCTGATCGGGACAGCTCGATGGATGAGAAAGGCAGCTATTTGTGAGTGAATGCAAACTTTTAGACCCATCACAACGAACGGTTTAAGTTTCACTTTCACTGTGCCTGCCATTCAGTTCTGATTGGTTGTTTTCTTTCATGTGCACTAATGCCATTAAAATGACAACAAGGCAATAGAGTAGGCAGCGGAAAATAATTTTTTGTTCACTGATCTGTCTCAATTAGGGCTGTGTGAATATAGAGACAGCTTCAGCAAATGTGACAAAGGTTATTTTTAATGAAAGTTTCCAACCAAAGCTTTAAAGCCTGGTCACACCCACTTTTTAAAAAGCACAAAGCTAAAGATCGAAGCAAATACATTTTAATGGAATCGCAGCAATTAGTGGTTGACTTGCAAAGTAAATTAGCACACATATCTGCGTCATGTTTAACTTTCCCCCATAAATTAGCACTGTTGATCAATAGCAATCTATCCTGGCAGCTCTGACCTGTGAGGGAACAGAGAGCTGGAGAGTTCAAAATTAAGGGAGCTATTAGCTTATTAACTGTATTGCACCATCCACTTCTATTTAACCCTCCTCTGTTAAAATATGAATCGCTCCACTAAAGAGGGGAATGGTTTGCAGACAGTCATGAGGCAGGAATAGAGCACACTGTGTAAACTCATTTTAGCATTAAAGAACACATCTGAATTTTTGTTTGTTGGTGATTAATGTATCTGAAAGCCTTGGATGAACAGTCCAATGTTAATGACATGCAAATCAGTTAGCTCCTCTCAGCGATGTTAGCTCCTCTGTGAGCATCTGTGACCTGTGGGTCCCTCTAACATCCCTCTCTTTGAAGGTTTGCAGAGACTTCTGTGTGTGTTTTGCAGAAGCAAAAATCTCATTCTTGTGCTTGTTTTTTTTTTTTTTTTTTCTTTTAATGAATGCCTCTGATAGCCAGAGGGTTTCCACAAATGGACGCAACAATCAGGTGCTGTTTAAATCTGCAATTTAAGGCTCAGTGGAGGAAAATTGTACTCTGTCCAGGTCACCAGCTTGAGACACTGCAATTATTAACGATCAAATGAGACAACATTGTCTCGTACGCACTCAGTTCAGGGGACAATGCTGCTCACTGATGCGAATCACAGCACAATAATAAACGATTGAAAGAATGCAGCATTTCCTCTCTGAGCTGAACTCCTGTCCCTGGTTGTCCTCAGAGCGTGTCGATAGAATAAAGACTGATGGAGCTGTAAATCTGTGAATATACTGCTCATTAGTGAATGTCAAAATTCTCACCTTTCTCTCTCTGTCCCCACAGTGAGAGACGATGATGATTTCCTGAGTCTGAGCGAGCTCCCAGAAACCTTCCCCTCCGACCCTCCGGAGCCCTTACCTCACTTCCTGTTTGAACCTGAGGAGGGCTACATTGTCAAAAACAAACCTGTCAATCTGTACTGCAAAGCAACACCCGCCACGCAGATTTACTTCAAGTGCAACAGCGAGTGGGTCCATCAGAAAGATCACACTGTGGAAGAGAGGGTGGACGAAAACTCAGGTGAGTAAAGTCTAACACATGTACAGTCGTGTACACATGTACATAGATCTAATCAGAGGATGCGATAATGTAAGAGAAAGTCTGTCCAGGCAGTCAAAATCCTGCCTAGATGTAATGATACCATAGCACCATAGATCTTTGGTTGGCCCCGGATAACCGGCCTCGGTCGGTGAGCAGAGCCATTCGTGACACGGCGGTGGTGCAGCCAGACGATGGCCGCCCCTCTCCTATCTCGCACTGCATGTTTGTAGATAACCTGGTGCCAAATCACTTGCAGACAACCTGATTCTGGGTCAGGGTTTTGTACGTGGCAGGACAGCTCCCTTGCTGTGATCTATTGAAAGTCAGCTCTTGTCACACGACCGCTATTGCACATCTGTCCGTCCTGGAAGAGGGATCCCTTCTTGGTTTCTCTTCCTAAGGTTTCTGCCTCTTTTTCCCCTGTTTAAGTTTTGTTTTTTTTGGGAGTTTTTCCTTATCCGCTGTGAGGGTCCAAGTACAGAAAGATGTTGTATGCTGTAAAGCCCTCTGAGGCAAATTGTGATTTGTGATATTGGGCTTTATAAATAAAATTGAAATGAATTGAATTGAACGAGTCGGCTACATGTCCGATCACTGGCTGTGCGCCCACTGTGAGAACAGTCATATCGGAATTCATGTGTTTTCTCACACAGAAGGCTGCCATTATCATGCCGCTGCTGCAGTAGGCTACCTCAATAGCCAGCCGATAGAGCCTTACTGCTAGGCGTTTTCTGATGGGGACAGTGTGCCTTCATGCTGTGACAGCCTTGTCATAAAGTGCCCCCACTACTCCTGACTACTGTTCCACACCCACACACTCTTTCTACAGAACTACCAGTAATAGCTGCTAACAGAGCTACTGGACCAATAGAATGACATCATTGGATTGTCCTACTATGGCAATCATTCATTGAGATGAAGCTTGCATCACTGTATTGTTTGTTTTTTCCACAAATGCCTGTTTCACAAATATGACGTTTTATTGCTTTTCCAATGCACTTGTGTGTAATGGTTTTGGTTGCATGTGGGGCTTTTTTAGGGCAGAAATCCGTTCACACTGATGTCAGACATGGGTCACTTCAAACATGAATGTGAACAGTGCATGCAGAAAGGTCAGATCTGGGGAAATAATCAGACCAGAGCATTAAGCCCTGTAATGTGGCCTAAGGTGCACAAGTATAAACTAAAATCAAGTCCATTTGTTTTCCTTTCACTTCCACAAGTTGACCTCTTAGCCTGTATATTTGTTATGTGCCTGACAATGATGAGATTTTGCTGTGTGGGATATAAAATTGTCACACATCCAGAAAATGTGGCCAACATTTTTCCCAGGTTGCCTCGCTGGTGCACTGTAAGCAAACAGGTTAAACCTATTATTCAGATGTTTAGTTATTTGCGCTAAGAGCTAGGTCACATGTCAGACGTGTGTACACAGCTGCCCCACCACCAGTGCTGTACTGTGATGTTCACAGGACAGTTTAATAGGATCCACAGTGATGTACTGGACTGCAGCCAAAGTTCCACGCTTGTCACTTGACAGCACATGGTATTATTCTGCTGGCTGGGTAATGATGAATCATGCTGTTGCTCTGGCGAGATGACAAAGACGTACACAACCTGGTTTCTTAGACTTAAGGTTGACATGAGCTGAGCTTATGGGTCTCCACCTGCTTGTTAATGAGCCTGAGTCCCCAGAGCGGGTGATTAAACACAGGCCGAAAACAGTTTGAAAACTCCTGATATATAGTGCCTGCTGAATGAAATACACAGTGGGGTCAACAGTAGCACAAATCAGCACGGTGGTGGTTGAATCCCTGTGTGTTTTTTTTATCTCTTGAAGCAGGTGAGCAAAATACGTAGTACATATTTTATGCGCACAGTCTTTGATATTTGTCAGTGTGTATGTTGCACTGCAGTTGTGAGGAAGCAGAACTTTTGATTCTGTCTCAACCCAAGTTGACACATCGACTTGCCCACCGAAGATTTCCTCTTGTATTACAAAGCAGACCCTGGAGCCAAACATTGTGCTGTGTGTATATGCGTAGGTGTGTGTGTGTGTGTGTGTGTGTGTGTGTATGTGTATATGTGTATGTGTTCTTTGGTGTCCTGGTTGCTGAGTGGGTCTGCTGCAGTGCTAAACCCAAAACGGAGACAGAGGCAAACTGAGCAGTACAGTTTGATGTTCCCCCTGATTCAGCTGTCACACATGAATAGTCAAGGAAGAGGGGAATAAATGCAACAAAACCTGCAAGAAGTAAACATAAGAGAGTTGAGACAACAGGTACAGATATAGAAGCACACAGAGATGCATACAGTGGCAAGAAATAGAATAACTTTATTGCCTCTGTTGGAGGGAGGGTTTCATATCAGAGTACAGTATACCCGAGTGGCAGCTTCAGGACTGAAAAATGAAGCCAGTACGAATGTGCCAAAACCTGCAGTTCCTTGAATGACCACTTGAGGCTGGCTCCAGAAGTCAAAAAAGCCTGGTACAAAAAAGTTTGGTGCTCTGTAGCTAGTTTCCCTGTTCATGACAGCTACTTTCAAATGTTTTATTTGAGCATATACACCTCATTGGTTCAACTGCTTGTTAGCGCAAATAGCTAATCAGCCAATCATGTGGCAGCAACTCAATGCATTTAGGCATGTAGACATGGTCAAGACGACCTGCTGAAGTTCAAAACGAGCATCACAATGGGGAAGAAAGGTGATTTAAGTGACTTTGAACGTGGCATGGTTGTTGGTATTAGTATTTCACACGCTGCTGATCTACTGGGATTTTCACACACAACCATCTCTAGGGTTTACAGAGGTTTACAGAATTTGAAATATTTTAGATAGTGGTTTGAAAATAATGATCCCTCATGACAACTGTACACAGGTGACTTTTTATATAACTCATCAGTTTCTATTTTATTAAGGCTTAAAGTTCCAAATACCTAAGGGCAGGCTGCTTTGAGTGACAGGCTGTCTGCTTGATGTCACCTCAGTCTATGAGTCAGATCCACCCCTCAGTGCTCCACAGCTCCACCCTTCCCCTCAAACATGCTGTGCGTTCCAATACCTATACTACCATATGATATAGCATGCCAGAAAAAGATTTAGTACGTCCCAATACATTGTATGTGAAACGCAGTATGCCAAAAATACCAGGATGTTCTACTACATTGGGTCTGATTTCGTAGTATGCAAGCCAGCATGCTTCACTGGTTATTCTGACCCACAATCCTCTGTGCAGTGGACGATACGTCACATTGACTGAGCCGCAGACAGATGCTTGACAGCTCATTGATAGCTGATTGACAGCTGTCAGAAGTCGCATTGATGGATCACAGCGCATTCAAGTGACTGATGACCAGTTGAATAGTAATAATAGGTATATTGATTGTTTAATTGAATTGAATTATCATAAATATAACCAACAACAAAAGGGCATAAGAACTAATAACAATGACAGAGAAATGTGTAGCCGATGTAATTTTACGATCGTGAATATGATATTTTAGAATCTACAATATATACAGTTATTATAGCAAAATAACAACAGCAGAGCCCCCGCGTTGACCTACGTCTCTGGTGAGCTCATTGGCATTTTGTTTTATCTGCATGGTAACAGATATATGAGTAAGAGGGTCAAAGTTCAGGGTATAATGTTATGAAGAAGTAGCACTGCATGCAACAGTATGTACTTTTTAAGGACAGGTGCAGTACATAGCCTACTCAAAGTAAAAAGAAATGGTATGTGATTCGGAACGCACCCATAGTCACTTCTTGCTCCAGCATGGCGATGCCTAAAATGCAAAACTTGAGCCTTCAAAAAAGGAGTCCACAAATCAGTGGATAATATCAAGGTGGCTACATCTCTTATTTTATATAGTCTGAGTTTACCCGCCTTCTAACCCCTGTTCACTGCCTTCAGCCCTGTCTAAATTGGTTTTCTCAGCCATGTGTCTTTTGAACAGTTGTATCCCTTCATCTCTCTTCCTGCTTTCTCCCATTCTTACATCTTTCTGAATATTTAATCGTCATACTTTCTTTTGTTGTTTTGTTTCTTAGCATTTTCCATTTATCTTCTCTCGTCTCTCTCCCTCTCATGTCATTTTTACACTTTTTTCTTTTTAGGCATCTCCTTTACTTCTTTATTGCCCTAAAAATGCATGTGCCCTGAGGAGGTTCTACATTTCAGACAGACTTCGGGTGCTTTCAGACCTAGAGTTGTCTTGCTTTGGTCCAAATCAGGGACTTCTTGTGTTACAAAGTTGCACAATTGCCTAGAGTTGGTTCCTGTTCTTACGGAAGCATTTACAAGCTGAGAAGATAAAATGGCTGCGTGAGAAAGCTGCTCTTGATTGGTCAGAATTTCCAAGCGGGAAAAATCCAGGAAGTAAACAAACGTTGAAGAAGAGTACACTTGCAAGATAAATGTGACACTTTCTAATGTCACAATGGAGGGACAACTACGCAGGTTGATTTTAGCGCTGCTCATCGTGGACTATATTGCTGTCATTGTTCATTTTAGTCAAACCATACAGTTTGAAAACGAGGCTCAGCTCCAACTAGAAAACAATGTTTTGATGCATTGGATGTGCTGAATGTGCATATTAAGGCAGTACAGGAGGAGGTGCACATTAATAATCCTCCAGGACTGTAACATGCTCATGTTTAACCCAAACAATGCGTAATGCGACTGCACTTGGTTTGGATCAAGGTCAGAACAAGTTGTCACCACAAACGAACCGCAGCAGAGTTCATTTGTAACCAGACCGAGACCACCTCTTCAAGAAGGTCTCAGTCCGGTTGTTTTGGTGCACACCTGAGTGCGACTGCTGTGTTCACACCTGCCCAAACGAACCGCACTTAGGGGGCAAATGAACTTGAGTTCAATTGAGCCAAACCAAACAGGGCAGGTATGAAAGCACCCTTACAGACCAAAGAATAAAATCTCATGTTTGCGAGTCTTCTAGGTCATCTGTCTCTGA